CGAAAATTATAGCTAAAGAGTACAAGCGATGAACTCTTAAAAAAATACATGTTGATTGACAAGCATAGGTAAGAATAAATCAACAATAATAATACCTTTTTGTTGGGAATGAACTATGTTGCACGAGCGCAATCTAATATACTGTGACTAGTGCAGTCCATTGTGCGATTTGTACGCTAAGACGAATAGAACTTTTACCCCTAGGGACTTTAGTCTAAACATAAGAACAGTGAAAGGAGTAATCAGAAGCAAAAAATTACCTACCGACAATGCTGGTTACTTGTTGACTTCTACTACAGGACCACCTATCAGATTGGAAACTTGGACGATATCTGTCGGCTGTCGGTATAAAATTATCAGGAGATATGCTATAAGGTGGCGGAGTATAACCCGAACCCTGTGGACCCGCTGCATTCGGGGGACGATGTTGACCCTCGTAACGGCAGCTGTTCAGCATCCCGAGATTATTTTAAAGCGCTCTGAATGTGGACAGCAGCTGCGTTGTCTAATGTATGCACGACTGTAGCGAAATTTTCCCACCCTGTTTAACAGCCCCTCCAACCGCATACAACCACGTGACCGGAAATTGTTCTGTCTCGAGGCGCCACCCCGCCGGTCACGGTCAAATGACCAACGGACATTCGCGTGGCTACTAGCCACCCATTGGATTTCCTGTAAAGCGAAACCACGTGTTAGAAAAAATATATACGTAGGGACGTAAAAAAAACGCCGACAACTTGTCAAAGTAACACGTCTTCTTTACTCTCTTTTTTTCTACTCGTTAACGAGTTTAAAAATCATTGCCGTATTAAATTTTAAAGCTTTATTTACCGAATTATTTGTATATTTTATAAGTTTTTACTATTGATTTTGATGGCAAATAAAATTATACCGAAGTTATAACTGACGTTTACCATCCCTTTTCCTGGCTGACAATAATAAAATTCCAGGAGGGAGCTACTAACGACAACCAATCACGAGTCGTTCCATTGATAACCACGCCTACGAAATTCTGTTACCTGGTTTCATGTGTAAAAAGGCGTGGACTTATTATAATTCTTAGCTTTGTTATGAAATAAAATAAATGGTTTTGTAATACATTATTTACATTCAATTCATTTCCTGTGGGTCAAGGATAAAGATTAACTCATTTACATCTCTTATTGCAAGCATTTACTAACATTCTTTAATTTTGAAAATTGTTATATTTCAACTCAATATAATAACAATTAATCAAAAACTACGTGTTAATGTTATGTTTTAGTTCTAAATACTGTATTAATGTTTTTTTTTTTTTTCTCGTTCGAAATGATTGCTAAGCAATAATCAATCTAAAACAAAATAAAACTTTAAGTTTTAGTCTTCGTAAATTTTTAATTTAAATTATTATAACAGTGGGGGCCTATAGACGTATGAACTAATATTAAAATTGATTTCTGTTTTGAATTAAAATGTTTAAGTTAAATTTATCATGTTTATAGTACCTTTTCGGCGTGTTAACACGTCATTGTTTATGTTAACAATACAAGTTAGTAAAATTAGTATATTTCGAGCTATTGAAAGTTTACTTAATGGTACAAGTCGTCGTCAAACAAAGCTGTCAGATTTATTTGGCCTTGCAAAAGATGTTTACATGTTAAAGTGGTGTAATCTAATTTCTATACCAAGCACTACAGCCCTATGTTTTGTTTTGTTTTGTTTGTATAAAGATTTAGTCCTAGTTAGAATGAGTCATATTTTAAATGATTCAAAGTCATTTAGTATTGTTATGAATTAAAATATAGTTTTAAAATAGCAAAATAATAATAGAAATCTTGAAGACAAAGTGATACAGACAAAAGAAAAAAATAGTGCTGTTCTATTGCTTTAGTCTATATCACATGCGTCCTGCGAATAAACTTGTCCCTTAAACAAACTTAGAAATAAAAGGAGAACTCATAGAAACATGTGCACTTTAGAAATGGATAATTCGATGCTGGAGGCAATCTTAACTTATATTTTGACTTCAGTCATCCGAACTATCTTCTCCATTATCTGTGACGAAGAAAGTTAAATATTTATCGTGTTACAGTCATGTTATAAGACCCACTTTAGTGACAATAATGTATTGTTATAGCTCAAAGACAGGTAGGATCTTTAAATGATTTCATTCAATATTATTTAATCTATTTTAAACATCAAATAGATTTATCACTATATTCTATTATTGATTCTTCGAATAGGTTTATACTTTATAGGTAAGATTATTTTAATTTTAATAGATTAATTACATTTTATTCTATAAACAATAAATATTTATGAACTTAAACTTCAAAGCATTAAGGAAAGCAAATTTTTATTAACAATAGAAACTATAATTCTGAAATCAAGCGCATTAAAAACAGGTGATTCAGTCAAGGTTAAATCATCTTCATCATTGTTTAATATGTAGTTATTGTATGATACAGCATCAAGTAACAAGTGTTGTAATAAGGAAACGACTAGTATGTCGCCTTTTATGCACGATTTTCTGTAAAGAAGAGCTTATATCAACATTAATCAAATGTTTATTTATGGTAGAATTTATTATAACGTTTTTCCGTTAGATTGTTGAATAGTCTCTTAGGCCTACATGATTCTATTCGATCCTTGGTGTGTAACTATGTCTGTTTCAAATTGATTGAATCCAAGTAAAATAACACCTTTCTTGGCGGGAATCTCTAAGGAAACCAATTAGCATAATCTAAATTATAACTGAGCATTTCTTTATAAATTTTTAAAAATTTAAGAATTATTATGTACTTTTTAAAATTATAATCCTATTTTATTTTATTTAATGAATTATCATTTACAAAATTAAAATATTTTGCGCTAATTACGATATATGCATTTTTTTTTTTTTTTTTTTTNGTAAAAGATATAGCCTAATAGGCCTAAATATTCTATAATAAATAAATAGAATTTTATAATTAAATAAATCATTTTAAATTTATTACGATGATAATACAAAATTCGATTAATTAAATTTATGGACACTTTCTAAAAATTGTTGAAATTTTTTGTGTATTTGTTTATGATAGGCCTATATAGGCTATACATATACAGGAAATCCTCGTTAATTCGAACTCGGATAGTTCGAAATCTTGTTAGTTCGTAACTGTACTTTTGTCTCGACCGGAGATATAGAGATTTACATGTTAAGGAATTCGATTAGTTCGAAATTCGAAATGATAATTCTGTCTGAACTGTGATATGCGATGTTAACTCGTTCGTTTAGATCGAAGTGCTTCCATACTATAAGAGAACAATAGACCAAGAACAACTCTAATCTGTTCAATATAACTTTGCTTTTACAGTAACTCATCTTCGAGTGTCACCTTACCCATGAATTACCCTTTTATTTCCTTTTATCTCATAAAATGTCTTGCTTTCGGGATTGCAATATTGAGCTATGAGTAGCAGGTTGAGATATTTGTAGGGCTCTAGGCTACTAATTTTGGGGGACTAACTACATTCTGGACCACTTTAAAAATAATTTGGGCTACATTTCGAGGAATTCAGCTTTACTTTTTATAAAGCCATCTGCGATTTGTGAGTTTCTCGCCTGACACATGCTTTTAATCTGCAGTTTATTTATATTATTATTATTATTAATTATTAATTAACGAAAATAGCGTTCTGTATATATTCAATTTGCTTAATAAATTATATCAGTTACATGGAATTTGACATATTATACGGGAATGTGTAATTTCGGATAATTTGAAGTCTTGAATATTTCATCTCCTGAATTCCCAACTAACGATTTTAACGTATTTTCTGTTCTAATATACAAGGTATATGTATTAAAACAGAAAATACGTTAAAATAAACTATAAAAACAATTTTATTTTTAGGAAGCGATTCGAATTTGTATTAAAAACTATTAGTCTAATAATATAAACTATAACATTTACGAGTATATGTTAGAAATGAACCTAAAATATTTGTGAGAAAATCTCAAATAAAAAATTGTCATTTAAATTTTATAAAGAAGAATCACCAATTTACACAGAAAGCTTTTATGTTCTGATTCTAGACATAGAAACAGAACATAAAAGCTTACACTTTCGTCTTTTAAAGAGTCCAAATAACTTAATACAGCCCAAATGTCTATAATATAGACATTTGGGCTGTATTAAGTTATGTCAGACTACATTCTTCTTTTGTCGGCATAGATATATAATTTTAAGGCCTGTTATGTAGAACTATATAATTGATTGTAAAGTAAATTTGTTAAAGTTGTAAAATACAACTAATGAATATAGGCCTTGGATATTTCTGTGTTATTCTTGTAAATCGTTAAAGGTTTGCCAGAATAATAGGAATGTAGGACTGTAGAATACGTTTATCTGAATAAACGAAGAGACTAGTAAGAACCAACAAAATAATTTAAAACAATTCATTAACAATGTTAAAATATATTGTTAAATTACATTTATTTAAGCCTACTTTAATTTTAAAATTTATAATATAAAATTCATTTATTTATTTATTTCACCTTGTTGTTTTTCTAAATATCTTTTGTTACTAACAAAACTTTTAAAATATTTCTATCCCATTCAAAAATATGTTAACATAAGCTTTAAAAAAGACAAACAGCAAGGTCTTTATTTTATTTTGCCATTCTGATGCTTAAATTTCAATTTGTATTTTCTTAGAGAAATGTTTCTTATGTAATACTTATACAAAAATGCTTCTGTAGAATATAATTATAAAATTTTCAAAAATTAAACTAAATTTCGAAGTATAAGAATCAATTAACTAGCTTTAAAATAATGATAATATGTAACATATTATCTAATATCTTATATGAATTGAATAAATAAGGATACTGAAAAGTAAATAGAACTTTTCATGGAAAAATATAGGACCTAAACTGATTGGGCCAAATTTTGCAATTTAAATGATAATAAACTAAGGTAGATCGTTAAAATTTCTTACCTCTTTATAAAAAATAATTCATATTTATAATTACTAATAAGGAAAAAAGGGAAGACTTTGAAAAAGTTCAACCGCATATTTAAAATATATTTTCCTAAATGCTACATGAGAGAAGAGAAATGAGAAATTAATAGTCACTTGATACATTTATCATTATATAAAATATCTTTATTTTATATCCGGATTTTTATTATTAATTTACAGTTGTATACACTTTAAAATTATAATTTTGAAATTTTTTTTATAAAAAACAAACTTAAATACTGTTGATATATCACATTATGTGCATTATTTATAGTGTATAATAGATCTTAAAATGTGATACTGTAGTCATGTGATGGTTTTTTTTTCATACAGTCAAACATATGGTCTAATTTATAAAATTGGCCTCTCCCTTTTCAGTTAAACTTTAACATTTTTATTCTTTCAATTCTATAAAAAAAAAACATTCGTTAAATATATTGTAATCTGGGCATTTATACGATTAATCTGAATCAATGTACTCGAAATATCAATAAGTTCCAGAATTTGTTGTAACAATTATTTAAAATTGAATTACTTTGTAGAAATAAATAACAGATTTAACTAGTTATCACTTATACCCATTACTTACAAACTGGAGCCACAGTAAAATTGCTTGTTAAATAGTAATTACACGGAAAATAAGGATTAGAATGTTTTAAAATGGAATGTAATTAAATGCACCTGAAACGTTTAAAAATTTTACAAATTAGAATTTAAAACAGATTGAATTTTTAAAACAAAGACATATATTTATATGAATCTAATTTTAATTAATTGTCATTTATTTGGAGGAAGCAGATTGTCACTCTATTATGTTGTTATAAAGTAAATTCACGTGTACACTACAATTTAGGTATTTAAGAGAGCTCAAATTCGTATGATAAGATATATGGAGTAAACCGAAATAGAGAGAATAACTGTTTTTATAAGTTTATTTATAGTCCACTGCGGAAAATAACTGATAAAGTTTGTCGTTATCAGATTTTGATTTAAAGCAAGATACCGGCATCTTCTAGTCTAACTAGATAATAAAGATGATTATTTCCATAAGGGAATTACATTCTTTAAATCAATGATATTTAGAACACACAGAATATATTTAATGCACATAGTAACCTATTTCACAGCAATAAGGAATTAAGAAATTGAATTTTAATAGTTAAAATTATTTCTGCATATTTTTTTTAATAAGTTAAAAATAGAATAACTTACATAAGATGTATACTGCGATATAATTTTATAATCTAATAAAATCAGTAAGTAGTTACTATTCAAACTAAAAAGAAATAAAACAAATAGGCAAACTTTATTTATGTGAATGACAAAAAATTTAGATACGGCATTTAAAATGCTCTGAATGAAATATAGAGTCATAAAACATAACAAAAGAAAAAAATGGCGGTGATAAATTTCTGTTAGAACTGCTGTACGAATTCAGTTCCTTCAGTTTTCTTTATTCCAATTGTTTATTTTTGTCTTAAAACGTAACGAAATCTTACACAAAATTATTTCGTAATTTACGAAATAATATCTAATATACACGTAAAGTTTTTCTTAAACAGCATGAAAATTACAATATAAATTCTAGGAATACGATAATTAGATTGTTTACTCTTGCAAAGAATGCTAATAAAAACGCACGGTATTATTTATTCGTTAGTTTAGAAAATTTTAAAATGAAATTTAGCAATCCACAAAGAAAGTATTCATAATAATAATAGTATAAGATATATCTTATCAACGAAACGATGAGAAAAGTTTATACAAATAGAGAAAAACTGCAAGAGAAGAAACATAGCTCACAAAGTGTCAAAACGAACATCTGGCGATCGTAAATGCGTACTACCGATATAAACATGTGACAAACCCTTTGTGGTTTGATAAAATCGAGATAAATATCGTAATGTTGTCTCGGTAACGATGTTTACGCGTAGATAAAACATTATAATATGCCGTTTATCCATCTGTAGAGTTTGAAATAATATTTTAAAATTTTGTTGGGAATGCATGCATTTAGGAAAATAGTAAAAGAGGAATTGTTCATAATACGACGAATGAATCAGTTAATTGAAATTACCTTCGAACTAAATAGTTATTTGAAATTTTTATCAACATATTAAGCCGTTAATTATAAAAATTTTGAATTATTTATTTATTTTTCCAATTATTCTCTTAATCCTTTTAACGTTTACTAATTTTTCTAATATAAAATTAGCCTATTTTGTTTTATTGTAAAGATTCAATTAATTACATTATTTTGTTATAATTAATATAATATAATATGCCTGTATTTTAATGACTTAATAGTCAGTAATAAAGTATAGCATCTTAATAGTGAATTTTGAGCATCTTATATTTATAATAAATTGAATAAAATACTGTTAATTCATAAAATTATTTCAATTAAAATTTGGGCTTTATAAAAAGGTAACTTTGGAAAGGCTATAAAATTTATGTAAATGTCTCTACTCTTGTTGCTTGGAAAATAAAAATAATTTAAAATTTAGCATTTTATCATGCTTAAATAAAATATATTTTTTTTTTATCATGCATTTGATGTTAACTCGATACTTTTCCTTTAATAATTTGTAAATTTGCCTGTGTATATAAATTTTTAATCACTGTAGTTCGATTTTGACATTTGTTAAGTTTAATATGAATTAATGATGATTTCAATGTATTCGTTCTAATTTTAAATAAATTTAGAATTATTAGTAGGCCTAATTCTATACTATAAAATATGATTGATTAATGAATAATAATAATATAAAATTTTTCATTTATATCCTATTCAAATCTAATAAATCATTATTTAAAACTTGTGTTGTTAATAGAAACATTAATTGTTAATTTTCTTTAGATGATTATGAACATAAACTTATTTTATTGTTATAACATAAGGTACTGATGCATAACAAAAAGTAATAGTTTGATGCTTAAATCAGTTAAAATTATTTGATTTATTTTAGACTAAAATTTCAATAAATTGAATTTTAATTCTACAATTGATTTAAAATAATAACCAATTAAAAGATTATATATAACTCATTTGTATCCGGATAATTTTCAATATTATTATTGTTATTAAAATGAAAACTTTAATATTCAAACTTTCTTGGTTTGTTACTTAAATTTACATTAAAATCCTTGATGTGCTTTGAATTTAATTTTTATCTTGAAAATCTTTTATTTATGCACTCGAAATATAAAACTTTATATTAGATTAATCTAATTGTTTAGAAAGAAAAATTACGTTCTATTTAAAACTGTGACATGATTTATCTTCAGTAATATTGAAGAACGTCAATCAATGTAAACACGTAAAGCAATTGTTTTCTGTTATCGCTGTAAGCATAAAAGCCGAATATCTCTAAATTAGATTAGTTATAATCAACTTAATTTCCAATAATATTGACACAACAATGAAATAAGTTATTTTCCATAAGACACACACACAAAAAAATCTATATTATATACTGACTGTTAAAGTCGAAGATATTGGAAGTATGCAGTTCAGAACATTGCAATAACAAATCTATGCTGCTGAATACTCAGACAACTTGCTGAAATATTCATTGGTAATCAAAAACCGCACAATAGTTCAAAGACCTCATTTTAAGAAGCTACAGCAGTATTCTTATGTTATTTATCAGCATCAAGTTGTACAGTCGCACATTGAGTCCATGTCTGACCGTCTATATTATTCTATGTGACTGACCCTTGGCGGCTGAAGAATGTATCCTTCTTACCCTCTCTAACCTATGATGAGATAGATTAGAGACGGAAAGTTTCAAGGTATGTGCCAACAACGATGTCTGTGTAAATCACCGGTCTGTATCTCAGGTTACTGTACGTGATGTTTACACTTCTGGCCTGATTATCCTGCACACAAATACAATAGCATTGCGTCTACCAGATGGCCAGACACTGGACTTATTTACACAGGAAGTTTGTGATTTTTCGATTATATGATCATCACTTCCTAGTACTTTTATCTTTATAATATTTCAACCTGACTTTAAATTAATTCGTTCGTACGAACTATATAGTAAAATCTTCACTTTTCTAATAGGATACTTCAATAAAATGAAACAGAATATATTCTCTAATTCAACGATTTCTTTTGATAATTTCATATTTTTAATATTGAGTCTTTTAGAATTCAATTTATAAGATCAATCAGAAGTTTGATGTATTAACTGTCTCTTAAATATTCAAATTATTAAATTATTAAATATTCAAATTATAACTGTTCATTTTCAGGCCTCTTAATTCTTCCTTTAGGTTTTGTTAGTTATAACATATGCAAATATTTTAAATTATTGCAAATCTTGCAAGTTATTACAATCCTCGAGTATCAATTTTAAATGAATAAATTTTATTAGAAGAATTAGTACAGTTAATATTTCAAATGCAAATATTCTATAATGGGCCTTGCGATTATCTTATCAGAAAATATTATCTAATAAGAACACTGATATGTTTATCATTTTAATATTTTACAATTTTATAGCAACTCAGAAATATTTGAAAATTTATAATAGCACCAACGTGTAATTCATTTTAATTTATAAATTAGATTATAATGATAGAAAGCATTACTTAAACCTATCAACATTCTTGCTTGATAAAATTCTACGATAGACTAATTATAATCGCAATGTTCATCATATAATTTTTGCAACACCGGGCACATGCCCGGTGTTGCAAAAAATGACATCTTTCTTTTCTTAAAAAAAAATAATTTATGAAATAATTTTTGCAAAGTTTTCTAAATTTAAAACTTTTAAACTTGTACATATAGAAAATTAGGTTTATTATATACAAGAAAACTTTTTGTTTTTTGTTCATGTTATACTTTTCTAATTCTTTGGTATGTAATGCGAGTGGCCCTGTTGGTTAGTTCCACATTGTACTTATCAAAAAAATAATAAACAGCTTAGATTGGTCTGTGTAGTTAGGAGTATCTTTACTTTTACTTTATTCGAGACTGTTGGAAAGTTCGAAACGATAATTACTTAAGAACTTCTTTCCTTAAAGTGATTAATTAAGTAAAATTAAGTTGAAGAGTTCCGTCCTGGAAGCAGAAACTGAAATTCTTGTGTAAATGTTTTCTTCCACAAAAATAAAAAAAACATTATATATGCGATTTAATTAAGTTTAGAAAATGTTTAATATATGAAATTGATTGAAATAGCATTTGAATATTGATCTGGAATAGCATTTAAATTCACAATTCTTACAAACTGGATTATATTTCTAAGTTAAATCATCTGTTTTACGCCAAGCTTCATTTCCTTATATAAATGTGATCTGTGTTAAAAAGTAGTAAAAATCATTAATCTGATTTTTACTACTTTTGACTTTTAAAAATCTTTAAAAATGATGATTGTGTAAAAAATTTAAAT